GAGCTTGCCTGATAGGCGCTGCGCCGCCGGTGGGTCGAGGACGCCGGTGTCCAGCACCTCGCGAATCATGGCCTGGAGCTTCAGGACTCGTCGCCGGGTAGGCTGGACCGTGACGCCCTTGTCGCCGAGGTGGACGTGGACGCCCTGTATCACCTGTTCGCGGTTACTTGGGCAGCCCAATCCCAGTGGCCCGGTGGCCCGGTCCGCACGGTGGCCCGGTGGCCCGGTCCCGGTCCCGGTCCCGGTTCCGGTCCCGGCCAGTCTCGGCTGTCCTTCTAATCTTGCGGCGGCGCCGAAGTTGATCACCTCCTCGTCGGCGACGGCGGTCGCCGCCGGAGATCGGTCGCCCTCTTGGATTGCGGCGAGCTCCGCCGTAAGGTCAGCCGGCGCAACCGCCGGAGCCAGCCATGACGCCGCTGTTGAGGAGGAGGCAGCGTCGAGCTTATTGCTCTTGCGGCGCCGAACTGCCGTAGACGCCGAGGTGGGGGTCGAGGTCGATGAGAGTGCCGCGACCGCCGCCACCACCTTGGACTGGAGCTCCGCCGGCCAGCTGCCGACCTCCGCCGCCAACTCGTCGTTGCCCAGCGCCGTCAGCACCTCGGCGATGTTGGTCGCCGACGACGGAACCGAGGAAGCCGGGGGAGGCCATGATGCCGGGCGACGAGAGGCGACGAAGGAAGGAAGCGAAAAATGCGACGGAGCCGACAAGCTACGGTCCGTCGGATACATGTTAATCCTCACATGCCCGCATGTGCTACACAGAAATATGAAATGTTGGGGCCCGCTCCTGTTCCTACTTTCCACTCCTGTCCTTCCTACCTTTACTTCACTTGTTGATGTGTCTTGTATTTCCAAAGTGCTTGTGCTCCTCCTGTTTCTATTCCTGAACTCCAAGGACATCATTTCTGGTGGTCAAATCTAACTTCCCGGCTGTACTCTGCCTGTCACGTTCACAGTTCACGAAAATTGTATGGTGATGGTACGGGCGTCGTAGTCGCGTCAAACCTCCCTACTTGTTCCATCGTTTGCCATACCCCAGCAAGTTCACAATACGGAAAACATGATGCTGGTGGATGATACACATCAACCGTGCTGGCCGTTGCATCAAACCTCCCTGGCCTGTCTGTAGTCATCACTACCCAGCAAGCATCATCATGCCGGGTTGTTACATTGCACCTTTCCCTTCTTCTGTTGTGTTCGATACTTTTGCCTGGTCTTGAAACAGGCAATTTATTGTTTTATTGAGACCTTGCCGCCGCTCTAGTCCTGGCTAAACCTGCCCATGCATGAGCATGGCATGAATGGCATGAAGCTCGATGGTTGTACTGAGGCTCCCTACTCCGTCTTTGATAGTGCATGCCCTGGAACTGTCATGGTACCAAGCACGTCACGCCTAGTCGTTGCATGTCGACTTCTCCTCTTTTGGTGTTTGTTTCCTGCGTGCTCTCTGTACGAGTACCATTTTGCTTTGTGGTCGCATCCAACCTTGTTTCTCTTTATGACCCCTTTTTCGGCCAGAGCGCAGGTAAGTTCACGCTCCGTGTTTGAATCACAGCTCTCTGCCCCTTTCATACCGTCCGCGACGTTGTGTGGTCATGCTACAAGAACATCTTGCTTAGTTGTTCCAGGCAACCTTGCTATTGCTGAGTGCTCTGCGGAAGGGCTCCTGTTTTCAATGTTGTGATCTGGGAATCCATGGCCGAGCTAACTCATTGCGAAAGTGTCCGCAAGCGTCCGCAACGCGTCTACAAGTGTTCTCAAGCGTTTCCAAGCATCGCGCCGGCACCATCCTCCTATAAGTGTTGTCGCTTTTGGACCGTCGTTGCTGCGTCGGCTGACAAAGGTGCAAACAGTCACGGGGCATGGGGCGGGACGAGGCGGGGAAGAGTTGCTGCTTCGTGGCGTGTAAAAAATTAATGAGTGCCAACAGTCACAGGGATGCTGCACGTTGGGTAGCCATCTTGGTAACTCCATCTGCTTTTGGCGAGTCACGTCCTTGTTGCGTGTGAAAAGTGACAGGGATGAGACCCCCTGGCGTCGCCATCCTGGTAAGTGTCGCCGCTTTTGGAGCCTCGTGTTTTCACCTCATGTAAGGCATGACATGCCCACTCTTTTAGGCAAGGGCGCCCGCAGTATGCTCCTACCTGGTTGTGTCTTCGTCGCATGCGACCCTGTGGTCGGGATGGGACACTGAGACTCGCCATCCTCGTGCTTGTCCTGGCTCTTGGACGTTGCCAGAGAATGCCGGGACTACGCTACTTGCGCCATGGCGTAATGGAATGGAGTGGAAGGGACTTATTTTTGGACGCCGACAGGAGCATGTTATTAAGATACGGGCATACGCTAGTAAATCCTTAAATATCATTACTTCTCATGAAGTCAATTTCAGTCTTCAATCGAACAAAGAAGCAGACCCTACAACAGCAACCATAGCAGCACAAATCAAACGCTAGGCTTAAGTTTAGTCTTGCTTTAGCAGTGGTAGCCTTCAAGGTCTGGAAAGGCACGTAACGTGTGACATAACTAGAACCGAACATTAGTGGCAGAACAAGCATAAAACATGAACGCAAGATTATCCCGAAGAGCGGACGCTGATAACAATTAAAATGCAATACCAACAGAAGAAATGTACAGACGGATAGATCATGCAACCTCACCACAGGAACAATAGCATTACAACTAAACAACACTCTCAGAATTACAATGAATAGAGCAGCTAAAAGTTATAAATAATCAAACATTTAGGAGTTTTGGCATTGTTGGAAAGGCGGATGTCACTAGTTAGGACACTTTATGTTTCAGAACAATAGTGAATTTACAGAAGGATTGAAGACACAGTATAAGTTATCATCAGAAACAGCGATGCGTTACGAGACATAAATTTTAGTATGGAATTACAATCATCAACACCAGAGATTAAAGTAACAGACTGACAGGCCAATTTATTAGGACATGTAGACATTGGCATCCGGATGTATCAGTTAGTCAAAGAATCAAAATAGATAATCCAGACAGCAACGGACAGATATTCATGCCAATTAATAATGCTAAGAAGCAAGGCATGATATCATTTGGTGCTGATGTTTACCATTCTCCAACATCAACAGGAACAGTGACATTTACAGGAACTGGAACATGTAGTGCTTTATTTGCAGCATGAGATTGTAAATGGAAAGAAAATCTGAAATTGAAAAGGACACCAGTGATATATCACACGATCCGTCGTTTTGCAGACCTTGACAGCCACTACTGCTAAAGCAAGGCTAAACTCAAGCCTGGCTCTGCTGGCTTTCGTGAATTATTCCGACCCCTGGAAACCTTCACTTGGACAGCCAGAATGCTTCCGAACACCTGGCTACGTTCTGCCAAAGCAGCACTCTGCCTCGGCTTCAGAACCCTAGCACCAACAAGCCCCAAACCTTTACTCGCACAAAACTCATCTCCTAGACCCCATCGACCATGTGTAGTAAATTCCGAAATTCACCCAGGAGCAGATACGAAGAGCTGCCGAGTCACACCAGGCCCAGGAAGATTCCCAGGCAGAAGGTGTTGTTCATAATGGCTGCCCCCTCAGTGAGTCGCGCCACCAATGACAGTACTTAAGAATGACAAGAAGTATTGACGAAGATACTATGTACCAAGGGATGCGAGAAGCTTTACATCCAGTCAGTCCCTCACCGACCAGCGTAGATCAGTGTTCTCAACTCGAGATGCATGTGGAGGCCTGATTTTGTGTTGTGTCCATGTTCTGAAGCTCTCGCAAGCCTTCTTGGCATCTCCTGGGTGTTCGTACTCTTGGTATGAAGACATGCTAGACTTGCTGCTCGCTATCTTGGGTTGCACACCTTGCTCGTGCTGTAACTGGAGTCACAAAAGCGGAGGGTGCAGACTCATAACTCATAACTTTAGGTTTAGAAACCATCCAGGATTTGGCCTGGAGATGCCAGTACTTCACGATGCAATCATGCGCGCTGCTTTCGTTTTTGCCTAAGATGGTCTGTCTTTCCGAGAACGTTTTCTGCCGCGATCTTCGCATCCACGAAACAAGGGTCAAAAAAAAGTGCCATGCTCAACAAACACGGCTAGTGACCCAGCTAGCTCAACCGGCCTTATGCATCCGAACCCTGCAACCGAATACCCAGCTCGCACCCACCAGCAGCTGCCCCGCCTCGAGGGTGCTAAGCGATGTGGTGATGGACTTGCATGTCCTCTTCTTCGCGTAGTTGTACCTTGCAATCGGAATGCTCACCGACATGAAGCTCACACATGCCACAAGGACGGATCCGACGGGCACGCGGCCACCAGCTCGCTTGCGTTGGACGCCAGGGGCGCCAGTACCTAAGCCGGTGAGACGGTAACTGCATGGGTTAGCGTCCAATGGGGGCAACATCCGGAGCGCGACAGTCACGCATGGAAGGTGCTGTTCTAGGGTAAGCCGGCAGCAACTGTCACGCAACCCTCAGCTGTGGCTGCTGCGAAGGAGATGTAAAACGCTGAAACGTCAAGCCGCTCCCCTGCAGATTTTATGCTTCCCGGGCCGGCTTCGGTTGGCGGTTGTCGCAAGGAAAGGTTAGATTCAGCAGTCCGAGTGCTCCGCTCAGTTTGTGTAAAAGCTGCTGTTGATGCGGCAGGCCTAGCTCTGCTAGGAGATCGACCATGGGGTCAGAAAACACCAGCACCTGAGGCTTCCACAAAGATCTGCAAACTATGTGGAAGAGTCGTATGAAAACATCTGAGCTTTTGGTATGCTCTTGGGCCTTGAAAGGGGGCTGTGGAGCTCTTGACTTTGAGCGCGAAGAGAAGAGCAGCAACCGTCTGCTAAGGCTTCGGCGAGCAGAGTTCCTAGTGCCATCTGGTACGCTGCTCGGATCCTCAGGGTGGCAAGCAGAAGTGCCACAGCCAAGACACTAGCCAGACCTGCTGGCGAATTCATGCAGGGCACAGGCCCCTTGCAAGAGCACAGAGCACAAACCATGGTGAGAAGATTAACAGGCATGCCCTCAAGATGCGTTGGAGGGCTTGGGAGCCGGCTTGATGCGCTTCTGCTGCTCTTCTGGCTCCAGATCCGCCAGGTCCTTGCTGCAACAAGGGCGAAAGGTTTTGCAAGATACGCCAGGTGCAGAGGTCCAAAACACAATAACACTGGAGCTGGAAGACTACTTAACGATCTCAACCCGAATGGTTGAGAGCACATCTTACTTTCCAAGCTTCTGAGAGAGCTTGGGGCCTGGGGGCACCCTGGCGAATGGGTGGGAGTCGGGTGAAACGGCTGCCGTTGCATGTAGGGCCTGGAGAAACAATAGACTGCAAGGCACGCACACAAGCACCGCTCCTCTGGCACGTCCTCTTCCTCTTCATCCTCGCCCTCAGCACCACCCTGGAGGCAAATAGGCACACGGAAGCATTTCAGTTTTTGAGCTCTTTGGGTGTGGAGTCTATCAGCCGGCCTCACCGTCCTCCAGGTACTTGTTGGGGTTGACCGCATACTTCGGCTTCTTCGTCTCCTTTGACAAAGTGGCATGCTGCTGAAACAAGACTGGTCTTTGCTGCTTCCAATCAGCCATGAACTACAATTGAAGCAAATGCCACCACAGGTCCAGAGCAGCCGGCAAAAGTCAACAACATTCGCCAACAAACTTTCAATCCCTGCAAGTCCGCTTGGAACACCAAAGTCTTATTCTGATTTGGGCACGACATGGCACAACAATTGCGTATCAAGTAAAAATTCACCCTGCCTGCAGGTCGGTGTTTGGGTCCAGGGCGAACGACATAAGGCAGGCAACGAACTCCTGGAGGTTTGGAGTTTTCGCGACTGCTGCTATTACCGTATCAGGTCGAGTATGTAGGCCTTGTCTGCTGAGAATTCACTCAGAATTCCTGTGCAGAAATCGCTACTAAGAAAGCAGACGTCCAAGCAAAGCCTGTACATGAATCTAGCTGGGGAGTTGGAGCCAAACGTTTAATCAATGCCCGTAAGATTCTGGGCAGTTCTTGATGTCATCCTGTGAGAACAGGAAAGGCCAAACCAAGAATGCCCCCAAAAAACAAATTCGAACGTCCTCGAAGCTGATGTCGCCACTTTTGTTCTGCGCAGGCTTCAGGATTGAAACAGTCTGTGTTTGGCTTGTTTTATACCTATCGTTCTCGGGTTCTGCAAGGATTTCTAGCTGCACCATCGGAAGCGGACGTTCTCTACTGTGCGTCTCCCTTGACATCTTTGACATACCCTAAAATTGTGGACGAAGATCGAGAAAGTGTGGGTGTCTTCGATACTTCAACAATCCCAAAATCCCCAGCAAAGGCTTCGAAGTCTCGCAGTTCTAAGGCTCGCTCCGTGTCTGCCGCATCGAACATAGCGTACTGCGCCTCTCGGGACAAATTCTCTCCTCAGTTCGGCAGGGCCTTGAGATCCTGATGTGGCTAGGACTAGGAATAGAATTCCGGGAGCTGCCTTACTGCCTTTTGCTGTGGTTACCTGTGATGTCTTGTGATGCAAACTGCAGCCTCATGATTCACCTCCTCATTATATTCTGCTCATTAACTGTGGCACTACAGACTTGGCTGAGACCAAGTGCAGCTGCACTCATGCAAGTTCAAGGCCATCCATCTGCAACCAAGCTGCCCACATCCTGCGAGCGAAAGCCCGATTGAAAGGGCCATCAGCTTCAGAAAGTTCAAAAACTTTCCAGGGTTTTAACTTTCTAGACTCGAGCAATGCTGTCGGGTGCTACCTCCATGCTTTTTTGTGATTAGGTTTGGGAATCTCCCTCATCTTGCATACTCGTATGTAACACACCCTGGCCTTGCCTTGAAGATCATGCGGAACTCTTCGAAATCTATGGCATTGTCGCCTCGGCGTTGAGAGGGAAGTTCCCCCTATTGCCGGATCCAAGTTGGATTCAATGTCACATCAATATCAACCCACGATCCGCACATGAGTCCAAACAAGGTTGGACGACAAGTTCTGTCTGTTCCTTGCACGCTGACGTGAATGCAGACTGCTTGGATACTACACAGACTGCAGATGCTCGCGAGAACACGCTAGGGAAGGTGCCGTTCGCATCGTACATGGCAAAGAAAGGCGCTAACACCTCCACAGCTTCCAAGAGTCGTGAGGCAGGCGGCTCTTGCAATTTGAGGGCCTACGCTTCCGACCAAGGGGCTCTACCTGTTCTGACTGACACCTCCATAAGATTGGCTGCGCATCGCTGACAGAAGCTCAGCTGGCCTTGCACATGCGTCGAACTTCGTCCATGGACTCCTTGTTCAGCAGAACCTTCCAGAGAGCACGCGCGTTCCCGTGAAAGAAACTTTCAACAGCAGTTCTGGCTCACTCGCCGAAGCTGAGCCCTGCGACCACCTCAAACTGCAAAACGGACGTTGCAGAGTTCTCCCTTGTTGGTGAGAAAAGACCAGAACCCAGAATTATTCAGAAGTGTTCTTGAAAGCACAAAAGCCTGATAACTTGTTCTCAAGCTGAAAGATCAAAACCTCTTGACGTCGGGGCCTCCGTGAGGTCACCCTTCTTGCACATACTGCTCCTGGCATGCCAGCGCAAACCAGCAGGTTCGTGATATGATGCAATCCAGGTGCATGCCAGATGCATGCCGGCAACTTACATGCCGCAAACCTTGCTGAGTTGTGTTGCAGTTGCTTCCTTATTGTGGTAATAGAAAGCAAAACCAATCCAGCGCGTGAGCGCTCACCCCCCTTCCTCATCAGCCACTCGAACCTTGATTGCCTTAGTCTTAACTCGCATCAGTGTGTACTGTCATTCTTCCCTCTTTTCATGATCCCCCGCATCCATGCACGTGCCGCCCTCCCGTGCGCACCACTGCTTGTCTCGGAAGGAGGCCATGGCTCCACGCAGGGTCAAGGTCCCTGGCCAGCTGAGAGCTCTGAGACTATGGATGACTATGCTGTTTCCTGGATGGTGAGTGTTGGTGGCAAGGAATGCGTTGAGCCTACGTAGAAGGGCCGAAGCCACATCAACTTCCTATGGCCTTTTTTCGTGCTCCGCAGGGAAAGCCACCCGTCAAGCGAAGCCGAATGTCATTTCAACTAGATTCGCATTTACGCGCTGCACATCAATACCAAAGCATTTCACGATGACGGCAGCACACCTTATGCATCCCGCGAACACTGGTCACATCATATATCTACAATGGGTGTAGCGCTACTTTCCAGAGCAGTTTGTCAGCAAGTCCCCAGGCGAACGCCGACCACACATGATCATGCTTAGCACTGCCGTTTCAGTTGTCACAAGTACAAAGAAGTCGATAAGTAAAACGCCCTGCTAAAAGCCCAAGACCTTGAAGCAAAATGGCATCAAACTTTGCGTGGATGGGCTAACATTACAGGCCACCTGCATGACATCTTTGTAGTGCGGATTATGCTCATACGATCGGGGGGTATAATGGGAAGCCGTGATTCCCGTGATATCTCTGGAAAGGTTGCAAGCGCTAGTTTCTAGAGCAGGTTGTGGGCAAATACCCGGTTGATCGCTGACTTGCCATGATTCTACACAGCATTGCTGGTACGGTACTTGCAATGACAAGGTTGGATGGGGTGCTGAAGTGACAGCCGTGAGTTGAGAGCATAGGTCCAAAGAGTATTCTGGCCCTGTATATCTCTGTGGGATTGGTCAAAAATTGAGGACTATCCTTGTCAACAAGCCCATACAACGGCACCACCCACAGAGCTGCATGACCCCACATACCCCGCACCGCCACAGTCTTCCCTTGCGGCCACATGCCATGCCAGCAGCACCATCACGCATGGCCTGCCGACAAAGGAAGTTTGTGAGTATGTTCACAATTCTCTCCTGGCATGCTTGAAGGCTAGGTCCCCTGTTGCACTCCTGTTGCTGAATAGGTAAGCTTGCGGCAACTTGATGGGAACTCTTGCGAAGCCCGGGGCGAGCCAAGTGCAAGGCTTGGTCCCGCCCGGCAAATCGTCAGCAGCATGCGGCGGCAAAAGCGCGGGCTTACTCAAGGTCATACACAAAATAAAGCTCCAGTGCATCAAAAACAGGAAGGAGAAACAGGCGAGTTTTCTGGGCCCTGGCCTGAATGGTGCTCTCAGCAATGGCGTCACTGACAGCCCCACCCTGCGATTCCTTCCTGACGTGACGGTCGAAGATGGCGGGACTCTGACTCTGGCTTTGGGGGCAGGCGTAGCAGCTTCAATGGTCTTTGATTTGGATTTCGGGGTAAAACAGACATGCTAACATCTGCTGAGATTGCACCAAAAGCCTTCAGCCAAGCAAGTGCGAAGTTGGCAGCAAGTCTTCTGAGCTTGCGCACCACATCTTCCACAGATACCACCTGGGTTGCCAGGCGTGAATGAGCGAGTTCGAGTTGCAAGTGCTCAAGTGATTTGCTTGAAGCACATTCTTGGTGGACACGCTACATCAGCCTCTAAGGCCAATCCAAAATGGCATCCCCAAAGGTGACTCTGCGACATCGGTGTCGTCCGCCAGCAAGACGATTTATGGCTTCAACCCCTTAACATCCTCAGCACCAAAGCATCCCAAAAAGGCTGTTAAGACACAGCATTGCCTTTGTGAATGTAGGCAACACATGCCACGTGGGAGACTGACAAAGTGTTCAGCATCCATGGCAAGGCCAGACAGTGAACAGAAAACACTACCTGCAACGTCCAATCTGACTGCCAACGGCCTGCATGTTGCTTCCTGCACTGTCCTACCTACAGCCGCTCCGATGGCATAGCGCTCCCAATCGAACTAGGAGCACCAGCCCCACAAACAACGGTAGGTAATGGATAGCAAGAGCCTCAAATCTAATCTGCCAAGGCACAGGAAGAAGCCGGCGCAAATGAAGAGCCCGAGGAGCGCGAAGATATTCTCGTACTCGGCCTGTGGGTGGGTGGGTGACTCGCATCTTCACCCCTTCAAAAAAATATAGACCATGCAAAGAGTAGTGGTACCGAGGCATCAAGAACAAATCCCAATTTGTATCACTTCTGGTGAAGGCCCTCCCTCCGGAGACAACCAACTCTCAAAAACCAACATCTACTTCATCAGGTCCAGGTTCAAGCATGATTGCATGTTCTGGAAACGCTGTTTTTAAAGGCCAGCTTGAGGGATTTTGAGAGGAAAATGCATAGTGGCATGCAGACCCTCTGATCTGGCCACGAAATCAGAGGCTCAAACGCATTTCCGGATAGGTTTCAATCTTAACTGTCAGGAGAATTCAAGACTGAATACCGGGTACCCAACGGGAATCACAAAGACATGAAAAAGGTCAAATTCTCACAAGGCAGACTTTGCTGAAGGCCTCGTGCCGCTGCATCCTTGCACCTTTCGCAGGGTTATCCTGCCAGGACAATGGTGATATTTCCAACAGCTTGCAAAAAGAGAAGTATGAACATTCGCCACGCAGACGCTAACCGCCCTTCAAAGTATGCGTGAAAAAACAAAAGCGGGTTCTGATCTTGGAAGTGGGCTGAAATGAGAATCTGCGGGCACCTTACGTCTTACTCTGAGATCTGGTCCGGTGGCTTGGGCATCTTGTCCACCATGAAGGCCGAGCCCTGGATGATG